AAATATTTGGTCAACCAAAAATAATTTCTCTACTTCCTTTCATTAAGCTTCTACCTTGGCTATTTTAATATTGTTTTATCTATGTTTTCTAATAAATAACTGTCAATTACACCTTGCTCAGTACGCTATTTTCAATACATTTCTTATTGATTAAAAAAATGTAATTTTCTATTTTCCAGGTCCCATTGGAGGTTTTGGAATCATTGAGCTCTAACAAACGCCTGTTTAATGTTGTCCTTGAAAATTACCCTAGTCTCTTGTTGTGCCGATCAACAAGTCTCAACACTTTAAACAAGTCTCCAGTAGAAAGTGTGCCCGCTCGTGTCCCAGTGACCATGTCAATGCGTCTGAAGCAGGCCAAGAAGGCTGTTACTGCAGCCATCACTTCCCCAACTGGTGCTTCAGCCACACCTCCTGAATCCGGAGTTATGAGTCCTGCTTCAGACCCTGCAGGTATGTCAAACCACATAATTTTCTGCACTGAGTTTTGTGTTACTGGGACCATAAATGTACCTGCTCAAATCAGTTATTAGTAGTTTGAACTATACTTGCAGTAGTGTGATCTCCATTGTCCTGATAGCAACAGAATTTGTTTGAAATGTGGAATGCATTATGTATTTTGCAATACATTAAATGGTCTGCTTCTATGGTCAGGCACTAGTTTTGTGTTTTTTCTATCATTGTTTTGTTTTTGTCTGAATGCTTTTGACTTTTCCCCTGTTTTATTACACTTCTCTAACAATAAAAAGAAATTGGTATCAATGGCTTACTTTAAGATCAAGATACTTATCTTGTTCAGAAATGAATAAGAATAATTATCTGTTTGCATGCCACAGGACCAGTCCCAGGTAAGAATGGATGTGGAATGGTCTTTGAGTAAACATAGTGCTTTTGTACTTTTATTTTTGACACAGTAAATATTATGCTATATGGTATGCCACCCATACAGCCCAATGCTCACATTTGATTTTTTGTGCTACCATTTAGGCTTTAGTTGTTTTGAGAATTTTTATTTTGTTTTTGTACTTTGTGTTGTTGTTTTTGCAGTAGTTATATTTTGTTTAGAACTCAGTGATATTATCTGATTAATTTTGGTGGAGCTTATTTGTTGTGCCTTATTTCACTTTTTATTGAAAACAACTATTGCCCTTTATTAACTTATAACTAAAATTGTCACATACTCATTTTTATTATTTCGATAATTCAAATTTAGTTTTCGCTATTCCTTTCCACATTTGTTTTATCTAGATGTGTTCCTGCTCTTCACTATCAGATCAAACACAACAGTTCTCATGTAATTTGTGACTTTGCAGGAGTACCTTTACTTTCTGAATGTGAGGTGAAACCTCAGATTCTAAAATCTCCAGTAAAGCAACCAAAGAGTATTTTAACCAAACCACCCCCCAGCGATTCTCTACCATGGTTAAAACGACAGTTTTCAGTGAACACACCTCCTCAGCATTACTTGAAAAACATCCGAGTTCATAGGTATGCTGTATTTTTATATATATTTTGTTCACCATGTGTTCTTTGCAAAGGTTTCTTTTATTATGACCATTCCCTCTTTTTAGGAATTCCGTTATGTATCGTGGTGCTATGTTAAACATTCATAAGTATCGTCTTAGAGCCTCATCATGCCCTGATATTTATCGCAACTCCATGACCACCATTGCCCGTGAAAGTGATGAGGTATGATAAGTGGATCTGAGTCATTTTTAATAAGTACCTCTAAATGATATATCTATCTTAATTTACAGTTCTATCTTTAATATGTTCTTTATTATTTATTTTTTTAAATCATGAAATTTAGAAATGGTATGATCACATTCTGGAGCCATTCCGTGGAATGGTTGACTTCACCATGTTTCTGGAACTACACTTCCTTATGATGTCCTTGAGTACGATACTTCTTTTCACCTGGTTCATTGTTCCGTACTTCTACTTGGCTGACTTTATGGTAGACCTTAATTACAAAGCTGAAGATGCTTCAACACTTTTGAGTATAATTGGTGTAACCAACACAATAGGAATGGTAATTCCCCCCCATTCTGACTGAAAACTTAATTTAGTAGGAATTGAAAACTGATATTTACTCAATTGTATTTTCTTTTCCAGATTGTACTTGGCTGGGCTGGAGATCAACCTTGGATGAATGTTACAAAGACCTATGCCTTCTGTCTTGCTATGTGTGGTGCTGCAACAGCGGCTATGCCACTTTGCATTGGATCATGGCCATTACTAGTTACTGCATCTGCCCTGTTCGGAGTATTTTTTGCCTCAACATTCTCTTTTACTCCAGTTATCCTTGTTCAGTTGATCCCCTTGGATCGGTTTACACTTGCTTATGGTCTTATCCTTCTCTGCCAAGGCATTGGAAATCTGATTGGACCGCCTATCGCAGGTACAGTTATAGTTTTACACATACTATTTTGAACAAAACTTTGTAAATTCTAGTCAAATCTATATTAAGTTTTGGTGTCTTCTTTTTCTATTTACAGGATGGCTCTTTGATGTAACAGGATCATGGTACTGTTCCTTCTACATGGCTGCTGGATGGATTGCAGTGTCTGGCCTCTTATGCTACATCATACCAATCACTAAAAATAGAAGGATTATTGGCAATGCCACACTTCAGAAAGATCGTGACCGTGAGAGTATTGCATAAAATTAGTAAAGATATGCATTTATCATGATTTTATGGTTTGGTTTGGATTGTTTTTAAAAGACTCTAGATGTTAGTCAAAATGCATTTGAATTTCAATAAGTGTTGTTTACTTAAATCATTTAAAATGTGATAATTTAGGCATTTTTGAACTGGTTTAGTTGTTCAGCTATGGCAATTTGAATCTAAATCAAATCCTTTAGCTATTCCTAGCATAGGCATATTGAAGATTTTTTCCTCTTTTCTTCCTGTAACTAATTATCACAGCCCAAGTTATCTGTATTATTATGTTTGAAAGTTAAAGTGCTTCAATCTACTTAAGTAATGGCTTTTACATTAATAGCTAGTATTTTATAACCAATAAACATATGCAGTAGGTAGTTTATAATTGCCAAGATGCATTCTTCAATATTACAAATTGATATGAATAACGCTCATGACAATGAATCCATGACTCTGTTATCTATAAATCTCATTTATTTCTTGGTGATTTGGTTAGATCTGTATTTTTAACATCTCAGATCAGTTGACAGACTAGTTCAAGAACAAACTGCATTTTGTGCCTGTAGTTTATTGTAATTTGGGATAGCCCTGTTGGTATCCTTGCAAATTGTAATTTTTCTTTGAGTTTATTAATATGAACTAAATATGTACAGAGATACTTGTAAATTCGTATGTGTAGTCAAATGTAAATAAGGAAAACAAAGCAATTTTATCTGTCTTAAGGTTTTCATATAGAGTTTTGTCAGCGATGACATTGATATGGTAATCAAGCAAATAATAGCAAATTTTTGTTGAATATGTGTTACCTATATATAGCATGCAAGAGTTTTCTCTTCTCTTCACAAATTAAAATGAAGTTTTATTACTGTCTTGTTGTAGGTCTTTTTAAAAGAATCAGAGTGCATGAAGTATGTGCTGATTCAAAGCAAATACTATTTCTTTATCCATGTGAATACGTCATTCATAGTTGATTGTTTTGATTTTTTGTTATTCAGTATCTATCAAATTACAGCCAATTTCTGACTTGTTTCGGTTAAATCAGTTCATTGGCAGTGATTTCAGTGTAATTTCAGTACATCACAGACTTCTGGAGAGGTACTTTATCAGTGTTCTTGTTTGCAGCCAGCTGGTGCTTACTTAGGTTACATTCTTGTTGGTGTTGATTTTGTTTTTTCATCTCTATATTTAAATACAATTTCTCTTGATTGTTCTAAGGAAAAAATTATGTGAACAATGCAGACATGCATTGTGGTCAAAAATTTAAATTTGATTAATTCTTTATGATTTTGCTCTCTTCTACATCTACAAAAGACTCTAAAATTATGCCTAATGTCATTGCTGTTTAATATCAGCTCTGAACCACTAAATTTATGTGTTTCAGGTGTTCATTCTCAGTGTATTTTAGAGCCAGACCTCTGGATAATTCTGAGAATTTCCACCTGGAATTTTCTTTAAACAATGTTATAGAATATAGATAGGATGTATTTGAGAATTGTGTAATGAAATGAAAAATGTATTACCTCTTTTACTGGGTGCTGTAACTAATCTAATTCTTAGTTTTTAAATAAATGGACATGTACAATGTCTCTAATGTATACCAATGTTCACATCAGGGTCACATAACATCGCTGAAGATGTTCCTTCAGGGTTTCAATTTTTATTTATATACCTTTTTCTTTTTAAAATGAAGG